TGATGCGCAATCTTGGAAATATGTGGATGACACCACCTTGGCTGAGGTTGTCCCACGGAATGGTCAAACCAATATTCAGAACGCCGTAACTGAAGTTGAAAAATGGTCTAACATCAACAAGCTTCAGCTGAATGCTGACAAGTGCAAGGAAATGGTAATTGATTTCAAGAAAGTGAAGCATCAGTTCGATACCATCACCGTGAACTGCAAAGAACTCGAGCTAGTGAGCAGTGCCAAAGTACTAGGTGTTACCATATCCAACTCCCTACAATGGGTAGATCATATAAATAATGTTATAAAGAAGGCAAATAAACGCTTGTATTTCCTGGTTTTGCTCAAGCGCGCTGACGTCCCTGCTCGTGATATCATCAACTTCTACAACACTTGCATCAGACCCGTACTTGAGTATTGTGCTCCCGTGTTTCATCATGTTCTCCCAGGATATTTGTGTGACGATCTTGAACGCATTCAAAACCGTGCGTTATCGATTATATCTCCGGGACTATCCTATATGGACAATCTCACTGTACACGATATCAGTACTTTGAAAGACAGGCGCCAGAAACTTTGTAAGAAACTTTTCCAAACAGTTGTGTCCGATGCTGATCACAAGCTTTACCATCTTCTGCCGCCCTCAAAGATATCAGCCTATAACCTAAGAAGACTGCGTCGTTTTGACTGTCCTGCTACACGAACAAATCGTTTTAGTAATTCTTATATTCTGTCAATGTCAAAAGAGTAGTTTATAAACGATACCATGCAGTGGGGATCAGATTTGACTTCCCCTACCACTTCCGCTGCCTATCGCTGATTTGTTATGCATGTGATTAGTTAATTTAGTAGTCTGAATGTTTCTGTTTAGTTCCTAGTCCTTTTCGGTAGCAGTGGTGGTGGTGGAGGTCGGATCTGAACTTCGCTACCAACGTTTTACAAGTACATATTTATTGATATGTGTATGTTTGTATGTATGTATGTATGTGAGATGTACATATTATTTTTGTAAATTTTACGCAATTCAGATTTTGTAGGCTGCTAAGTAAAATCATAATAAACTATCTATCTCTATCTATCTATACAGGCTGTGCCAATGAAATGTCATTAGGTCAGAAGATGTGGTTTTCTTTCTAATTTTTGCTAATACAATGTAAACTCGCCTAAAAATGAAGAAAGTACTGAATATTGGCAAATTTCATGTGCAAGTGCGATTCATGATACGAAAAAGGCGACTAAGAAAAGGAGCATCAGAATAAACATTTTGCCCTGTATTTTGCTAGAATAGTTTTAAAATATTATTTTAGGATGTTTAAAGTATTGGAAAAACATATAAACATAGCAATCAGATTTTTATGACCCTCATTTCGAAGCGTAAACTTTGTATTATTTTTAAAGTCTTTAAATACAATTTTCGCTCGTTCAAAATTCTATAAACACGAATTTTTGTCATGTTATAGGTTGTGCTAATGAAATATCGCGGTTTTACATTAAATTTCAAAGCATTTTTAAGTCGGTATTAAATTTCTTGACTTTGTAAAAAATGAAGAAGTTTTAGTACTTTTGTTTGAATTTCACATTTTATTGAAGCTATCGCCTATCAGATGACATTTTAAAAGGAAATTTTTTGCTCTGTTTTGTTTTGCATTGAAATAATCGATATTAATATAGTTTACCTGGATTATGTGGCAATAGAGAAAATCAAAGTATTACTGCAACATTTTTGTCAGTGAATCCAATTTTTGTGCTGATTTGTGGGCCTAAACAGCCGCTGCAAAATTGTCTTTCGAAGGCTTCGTTCATGTTCTTCTTTTAATTTTCGGTATAATATATCATTTATAGACCCTCCGCTCGGGGAATTCGGCGAAATATTACCTTCAGTGATGATGTTTAAATATCATCACTGAGGGTAATATTTCGCCGAATCCCCCGAGCGGAAGGTCTATAAATGATAAAAGTATAGCTGTCTGTTGAAAATCTACGTTTTTAAAATCATACACCAAAGATAAGTCAAACGATAATATGTCAATATATATAGGCCTATATATATATATGTCTTTCTGAGCACTGTTTAGTAGTGTTCACCACATAAACATTTTATAAACAGCTTTCGTTTTGACATGAATAAGCTTTAATATTTTGCTTTATATACATGCAGGGTGTATAAAAAAAAGCTGAACAGATTTGAAATTGCTCTCAATTTCGCAAAACAGCCATTAGTATCCAGTTTTTGATGTATATAGCTTCTTTGGGTACTTATAAGGTAGAATAATGGGGAAAAAATTCGAACTCAAATTTTGTGAACCAGGGGGGGGGGGTGTCTTTTCCAACAAACTAAAAACGGCTTGCGCACGAAATTTAAAAGCTTTAATCGTATGTTGAGTTAATGGATGGAAAGTTTGTTGGGTTTTTAATTACTGCACAAAATTTCAGACAATTTGCTTTAGTTTAAGCCCTTTAACTATCCATTTTTTCCTACAAAATCAGCTTTTCGCACGCTTAATTAATGCCTTTACCAATTTGCATATTGCTAACATATGCAAATTGGGCAAATGTATTAATTAAGCATGCAAATTGCTGATTTTTTAGGAAAAATGTACGTTTGCGTGAATAGTTGAAGGGCGTAAACTGAAGCAAATTGTCTGAAATTTCGTGCAGCAATTAAACACCCAACACATTTTTCATCCATTAACTCAAAATACGATTATATCTTTTAAATCGCGTGCGCAAGCCATTTTTAGTTTGTGGGAAAAGACACACACCCCTGGTTTACAAAATTTGTGTTCGAGAAATGTTTTTCATTATTCTACATTATAAGTACCCAAAGAAGCCATATATATAGAAAACTGGATACCAATAGCTGTTTTACGAAATTGAGAGCAATTTCAAATCTGTTCAGTTTTTTTATACACCCTGTATATTCTGAATAATACAAGTGAGATTTAATTTTTTCTTTGTGGAATAGAATACCGTTATTTTTAATGGACAGCTTGCATCGTCAAAATCATATCCAGGATTGCTTGTGTGTAAACGCATGTATCACTATGACACTATGAATTAGAGATAAACAGGTGATTCACAATAAAAACTTTAAAAGTGTTAGTAGAAGTAGAAACTCGAAAATTTATGTCTATTCGTATGATGCCAATGACGCGTAGTCCAGTATGGAGATACGTAGTCAAGAGAGCACTGCGAGTAACCATTTGCTTGGTTACTTGACTTGACTGTTAGTAAAAATGTTAGAATGTTATTGTAAATTCAAAGTAAAGAAAATTAGCAAGTATTTTGAACTTGATAATTCGCAAAATTTATGTGTTTAACGAATATCCCACTGCAAGCATTTTGATGTAATTTGATACTTTCCCCACACACCCCGGGCGCTAAATTTTTGACGAGGCACGTGACCAGCCGCAGCCAGGGTCTTTCCCAAGACCAAAGAAAGATCCTGGGTACGACTAACGAGGTTGGCACTGACCGCTCAAGATATAAATTCCTTCTTCCAGAAATGCAGTATATTGTTTTGTTTGTGTTTGCAAACAAAACAATAAAAGGAAACTGTTGACTCCAATGTAGCATGGTTTACACTTTCAAACTTTTTGTGGTGTACGAGGTGTTGGTGGTTTATACAGTGCAAATAAGTGCATGCAGAAGGGGAAAATGTATCGCAACCTGGGAACCTATTTTTCAGATTTTTTTTGGAATCTACAGTTTTTAAAACATTTTCATAGACATTTTTATGTTTGATAACTAATATGACTGTTCAGGATTTATCTTGTATGCCTTATCAGTCTTGAAGACATATTAGTTCACAGAAAATTTTGAGCCCTAAACCCAGGTTACCAGAAAGAAAAAAAATGTCCACCTCTGAGCAGTACTTATAGAAAGCCTCTGATCAGCTGCAAGTAAGGATGAGTCATGCACTTACTATCTAATTTAACCGAAGGTATAGTTCAGTTAAGGTTGCCTCCTGTAAGTTCCATTGAACTATAAATAAACTGGAAGGCTAACTCAGGGGGGGGGGATTGAAGCCAGTGCATTTTAGTTTTTCTGAGTTATGAGCAGAAATACTCAACACTGAACGTTGGGCTATATATCAAATTGAAGCTATTGAAAAACGCTATTTGGTGTAGAAATTTCAAGACTTTAGCTAAAAGGGAAATATTGAAAAACTACAAACATAATTACCGATAATTTGCCGTTTTCCATTTGTTTTTGTATTTCTTAAATATTTTTCTTTTCGCTGAAGTCTTGAAATTTCCACACCGAATAGCAATTTTCAATAGCTTCAATTTGATATATAGCCCGACGTTTGGGGTCAAGTATTTCTGCTCATAACTCAGAAAAACTATTTTGGCTTCATCAAATTATAGGCCTTCATCATAGCAGTTAGCCTTCCAGTTTATTTATTGTTCAATGGTAAGTTCTGGGTATAGCACGTCGTCTTGACTCACGTGACAACACAATACCATGATATCCCTGTAGCCGGGGGGGGGGGGAGGAAGTGAAACACTGGGAACGAGGTTGGAGTGCTGCATTTAAATGGCTTAAATACAACCCGTCATTCGAGTTCGTTGGCGAAGTAATTTTAAAATCAACTTCAGGAAAATCAAAGCTAAAGTTTATGAAAATTAACATGATTTTTATCACATATAAAACCACTGGCACGGTAGTGTAGTGACTTCTTTTGTCATGGGAATTATTGATGAGTTTTTAAAATTATTATAGATGTCAACGAACCTTTCATCCAGCTTTACGTTGATGAAGGGAATTTTGATGGTTATGTTCATTTGCTAAATATGTCCATTTCTTATTATTCCAGCGACGTTTGGTCGAGTAACATTACAAAGTCCTAGCTACGCTTGCTATACAGTAACACACGCGGGTAAGTATAAGTGATTTAATGATTTGATGAGATTCGCCAGGGAATCGCCGCAGGGTAGTTAGTTAATATAAGTCATACAGGGATTTTCAAGTTCGCAGATCGTCACAATTATAAATATTGGATGGCGCATTTTTGTAAGTTTACTTTAGTCCAGATTTGAAAGCATGCAAACCAATATTTCGTATTACAGAAGTCACTATTAAAACATTCCACGTTTTACATACTCTAACAAAATAATAAATCTGATATATGTTAAAGTTTTAGCAAAGGGAATTACAAATCTAATTAAGTTTTCGTTCGTTTCACTTCTGGTTATTCCTGATCCAGCTATTGTTGGTAGAGCACTCATCAATATAAATATGGTTGTTAATTATCTTCATGCCAATAAGTTATTGGTGCCAATATTCTATATTCATGGTATATACTAAATCAAGTTGGTGTAATCTAGTTATTACGAGACATTGGTGATAAATCCAAAATTTCTTTGCACCTTCTCGATGTCCTCGATCAACTTAATGGACTGTGGGCACCATTCGTGGATGCATAAGTGAAAGTGCTACGCATGTGCGCCCCACGGGATTTAACATTACGTAATTAGTAATAGACCGGAGTACGTCACATGGCGTGACAGAGCATGCGCGGTATGGAGATTCGAAAATCGTACAGAACTACGTACGTGTATTCGCGTTGCAAACTTGCGAAAAAGTTGGCACCTTGATTGCCTTATGTTTGACATGGAGGCCTGGTTACCAATCGCGTCTCAACGTCTGTGTTATATGACCGTAATTCCTCATCAAAATGATGCCATGGTGCTAGCCAGTGCGCTGAGAGACATTCACCCCCTGATAATATTCAAAATGGCGGACCTCCACAAGCAAACTGGGTAGGACCATGGCGTCAGCATTTTGATGACGAATCATGTGGCAGCATCATGTGGCAGCTGCAATGCTGCAGGTAATCCACAACCAAATTTGTTAATTGTTCTGAATATAGTACTAATATAGTGATGGGTGTAGGAGGTATTTGAGTAGTTGTAATGAAATAACTTGCGATACTCTACCAATAAAAAGTTATATTTGGCTAGGTGATTGGCAGCTAATGGGTTAAGGTTACTCCACATGATGGAAACCCATTTCACCAAAATGCTCACCGCGCGCTCAATTTTCAAGTTTTCCCCTTCAAATTTTGCATGCAAAATGATAAATCATTGCTGTAGCTAACGATTTGCCAAAAATTCTACACCTTTAAAAACTGTACTTGCTACGGGTTGCTTTTGAAAATATGACGGCCTTTGCGCCACGAGATTAGAACGCTCCTGATTTACCTCAAAGGCTTCCGAAACATAATATTTCCCATCTCAAATGATCAAAGAACAAAACCGTGTTCGCGTTTTTTGACAGGTATTATATTTGCTTTGATATAAAGCAGAGAAGTTGACTCATCTAAATTTTGGGAGAATGGCAGAATAGATGCCTATAACTTGAAAAGTATGGCACTAAATAAAAAAACGCGAACACGGTTTTGCTACTGTAATATTGTTCAACATTGTGGCAAAGTTTGGAGGGAATCGGATAAAACGTGCGCGTTTCTAAACAATTTTTGTGGGGACAATCTGAGAATATTTCAATCTCCGTAAAAGACGATATTAGGTTTGGCGGGGTTTTTCCGCTCTCAGTTATCACCTCGAAGTATAATCGGATTAAAATTAGTAAAGTGTGTTTTGGCAAGGGTTTTCGGTGTCGTTCACTCATCATCAGTTTATCACAAACCGTACATGCGAGAAACCACGCGAAAAAACTTGCTAATATGCCGGCGAAACGCAAATGTAAAAAAGGGATAGCTATACAGACCGATCTAAATCGGCCAAACGAAAATACAGTTGAAGATCTGTCGTGCACCACGAAGACACAAGCGAGGTTGAAGGTCACACATCCGGTATCGAGTATCACATCAAGCCACATATTGTCAATTACAATTACAACTTTCGCGGCAAAGGAATCAGTGGTTATAACATATTTTGTTATATTTCAGACGCATTTTAATATTTTGGGAAAAAACTTCCGGCAATCGATAGATCTTCAGTCCGTGAATATAAATCAATAAAAATGTAAAAAATGATGAAATCAGTGTTTTCATCATATAATGTAACCTTAACTACTGACATGTAATTTTAATAGATTGTTTGGCCAAGTAAAACAGTGAATTCAATGTTTTAAAGTTAATATCTCATTTATTTCAAATGTCATTTGTCAAACACTCAAACCATGTGGATACACCAAATATTGTAAACAAACCAAATATCGTAAACCTCCGATTATAAGCCCTGGAATTATATAAGTTCGTAAGCTTTTGTTGATGGGCTTATACATATGGGGGGGGGGGGGGTTATATACAGGTGCTCACATCAACATATTTATATGATCTAGAAAAGAACGTCTGATGCCTGATAGATCATTGCTCCTCACACTATAACTATTAAAATGTGGCAATTGCACCAATTCAGGCACGATATTGCTCAATTGTTACCCCCATTTAAACCAAGTGCAATATATTCTATCACTGCGGCTTGCTCTATCAGCACATAGTTAATATAGACAGCGTGAACACAATGATTCCCAACACCAAAAATGCACTGTCAGATTTATAAAATCAAACGCGGGCCTATATAAATCGTCAAATCTCGAGTGAGGTCGCACTGTTTCAAAGGTTGTTGCTGATTGGTTCATAGGTGTAATGTGGTGCTTAATTCAAGTGTAAGCCTATTCAAACATTAACTTAATTAACACATTAAATATTAATTTATTACTAAAAATGGTACCATAATAGTGAAAACGAATCGTCATACAGTTTGATATCAACATAATTACATTTAATACACTCTGGGACATAGTGTATTTGACTTATGAGTTTAATGCAAGTGGATGCTATGGTCGACCTACCAATGCATTGATATTGCTGATTTATAAAGGTTATTACTCTATTATAAATACATTTTACATGTTCTGAATCCAGTACAAATGGAAGGCTAGTACAAGATATGTATGTATGTATATATAATACTGTATATATGTATGTATGTATGTATGTATGTATGTATGTATGTATGTATGTATGTATATATAATAATATTTGTGATATATAATGGTTGTTTTAATATCAATAATATTGTTCTAAAAAAATAACATTTGCAGGATAGTACAAGTTCAATATATATGCAGCAGTAGCAGTTGAGGTAGTGAGGCGATGGTGCCAGTGGTGGCGGTGGTGGCAATGGTGGAGGTGGTAGCAAGCCAATAATATTTGTGATATATAATGGTTGTTTTAATATTAATAATATTGCTCTAAAAAAATAAAATTTGCAGGATAGTACAAGTTCACAGTTTGACCGGCAAATATCGTCGCCTGGCGGACATGCGTGACCGGTAAATTTTTTAATAAAAAATGGAGCAGATTTTTTATTTCCAATTTTCCAAAGAAGCGTATGTCCGTCTACAGTGCAGGCAAATAAGGGTGGCGAAGTGACACATTTTGTCATACATGCAGATACGATATACCGCAAGCATTGTTCTTAAGGGGCGGATCATTTGACTTTTGGGGGGGTTGGAAGATTTCAAAAAAACATTTCCTGCAAGCCAAAGAGAGGGAAAGAAAAAATCATGCAGCATGCAATCGAGAAAAAAAAATCATGCAAAAGAGAGCACTCAAAAAAAATTCTTGCATGTAATTCTACAGGGTGTATCAAAAAAAACTGAACAGATTTGAAATTGCTCTCAATTTCGCAAAACACCTATTTGTATCTGGTTTTTTATATATATAGCTTCTTTGGGTACTTATAATGTAAAATAATGAAAACAATTTCTCGAACTCAAATTTTGTGAACCAGGGGGGTGTGTCTTTTCCAACAAACTACAAATGGCTCGCGCACAAAATTTAAAAGCTGTAATCATATTTTGAGTTAATAGATTGAAAATTTGTCGGGTTTTTAATTACTGTACAAAATTTCAGACAATTTGGTTTAGTTTATGTCAGCAATATGCAAATTAGGTATAAATAACCTTTAACTATTCATTTTTTCTAAAAAGTCAGCCTTTCGCATGCTTAATTAATGCCTTTATACCTAATTTGCATATTGCTGACATATGCAAATTAGGCAAATGCATTAATTAAGCATGCAAATAGCTGATTTTTCGGGAAAATTGTAACTTTGCGTGAATAGTTAAAGGGCTTAAACTAAACCAAATTGTCTGAAATTTTGTACAGTGATTAAAATCCCGACAAATTTTCTATCTGTTAACTCAAAATATGATTGCAGCTTTTAAATTGTGTGCGCGAGCCATTTTTAGTTTGTTGGAAAAGACACCCCCCCCCCTGGTTCACAAAATTTGAGTTCGAGAATTTTTTCTCATTATAGCAAGTTTATACATGCTCATAGCATTATAAACTTAAGTTAATGAAACAAGCGTTAGGACAAGAGTAAAGTTGTGCAAAGTCTCCTGGAGTACAAAGGTCTGGTACAAAGGTCAATCTGTGAAACATTTGATCATACACGTGCAAAGCGCAAGGCTGAATTAACAACAAACCATTGTCAAATCTCTTCCCATGCATGTGCGGGAAAATAGACCAATCAGGTTTCACCTCTTCGTCTGAATAGTTTCCTGCTTGGATCAGTAAGCCTCATTGTGTCACTTGCAAGCAAAATTGTATGACCTCTGCGGCAAAGTACTTCGAAATTATACTTTTGGAAAAGATATATCGTGGATATAAAACAACGGTCAGTAACACAGTATTATTCAGTGATACCCAGTTTATTCAAATATAGCCCTACTGCGGGCTTTGGTGGACAAAGGAATACGTTGGCTCAAGTATTGACGTATATGAAATTCAGTGAGACGCAGTTTATCAGTAAAATATAACTCTGCCGCGGGCAACCGTTTTTACTCTTTTGGTGGACAAAGGAATACCTTGGCTGATGTATTGATGTATGACTCAGAGAGACGATGTTTATTCAAATATAACTCGGCAGGCGCTTTTACTCTTCTGGTGGACAAAGGAATACGTTGGCTCAAGTATCGATGTGCGATTCAGTGAGACGCAGTCTATTCAAGTATAACTCTACCGTGGTCAAGCGCTTTTACCCTCCTGGTGGACAAAGGAATACGTTGGCTCAACCGATGAAGTTAAATGAAACCGCCGCTGGGAGAATTATAACAAGATCGAGAGGCTAAACACGAATTCAACAAGCGTCATTTGATATCATTCGTATATCAATGTATTTATGTATGCACATGCATTTGGTGCGTAAGTATGCGGTGAATTCACACGTTTGCTTCGTATTTCGCTTTTCAAACCAATCAAAATGCTTTAACTTCATTTATTTTATCACAGAATTCGGGTATAGTAATTGTCGAACGCCAAATGTATCGACCATTCACGCTAAATCGATCTGTATTTCAATGTCAATTTTATTACCATCTTGAGGTTATTAATAACTCTTTCTCGACATGTGACATTTTTCACGGCAAGCAATATTTTGATTCAACTGTTTTATAACGTAAATATTTCAGTGCGTATTCACCCCCCTTAAAAACAAAGAACACCATTGAAATCTTAACAAAATAAGCTTTTCATCGGGGGGTCTAATGCCGTCAAAACAAATACACAAACCGAAACAATCATATATTTACTCACCGCTTGGCCAAACATTCTGTATTTTCATATGGAGAAAATGTTGAATATTTTCTAAACTCTTCAGTATTCGCCGCAAGTTAATGTTAGTGAAATATTCCTTGTATTCAAGCGCTTTTATGTAGAAAGTTTCGTTTGAATACGGCGAGGAGAAATGTTTATTTTGTTTTTTTCAAAATATCGGGTTTCATCGGGTTTTTACTCGCACGCGCGTGCTGCACGTAAAATTGGCCAATAAGGGGTCTCCCGTAGCCCAGTGCACGTGAAAAGCACGCTTCAGATGTAATTTGACCTTTAGAATCGATTTCCGATGTTTTCCGAACGCTAGGATGTAAACACGCGATGTTTTGGCAGATCTAAAATGTATTTCCGGTTAAAAATATCCCGCTGATTTCATTAGTTTCGCAACAGATTGAAATACCGAAATAAAAGACGAAAAACTAAGGCTACAAGCTTGAAAATAACACTTTCAATAGTGTTTTTGATTCTGTTTCGAATAAGACTATAGCGAAAACGATATCTCAAAAGGGGCCGAAGTTATGTTCGGCAAAAGGTATTGATAGTTTACATTGTTCGAGACAATTGATTAATATAATGAAATATGACACCGCTTGACCTGTCGAAAGGTCATAAATTGTTATACAATTTCACTGAAATTATATTTGACTAAAACTATCGACAGGTATTAGGAGATATTGTTTCACTGAATCGAATGGCGGTATTTTCATCTACATAGCATGCACCCAACTGACGATATGACCCTGCAAAGTCGTAAATCATGAGTGATTTACTTAATAGGGACCTGTCGGGAAAGAGGACCGGCCAGATTGGGCCTCTGATTCGGGAATTGGGTTTCAATAAAGTGTCACATTAAACTGTATTCAATCATTCAAAAGTAGATTATATAAAACTTCCTTTCTAGCTATTTCAAGGCACTCTTTAATAAAACAAACACTTAATTATTTGGCCCGTATACATTATCAATACTTTACTGGGCACAACATAGGAAATCAAGTTCATGTGTGAGAGGGATAGTCTGTGCACAGACTAGAGAAATTTAGGATCTACTTTATCTACATTTGTGATAAATCGGCAAGTTGGATGTCATGAAAGATTGGTATATACGTACAGTGTATGGTATGTCGCTACTCATGAAAATTCATTTTAGTGTCTTATCACTATACTGCATGATCTTTAGTCTACCAAATACATATTCTTACAATTTCTGCTATTCTCATGCATGCATGATTGCATGTTCAATCACAAAACTGTGGTTTAATATAAACACCTGAATTGCATTTTGAATTTTTGACCCTGCTATTTTAAAATATTGAACAAGCTATTTTTCTGAGATTAAAGAGTCACATACATAATTCGAGAATTATATTGTGTCAAGTTCCACCAATCATAATTCAAATAAAATAAGTGGAGTTAACAAATACATGTTGCAAAATTGTCAACGAGCACCTTGACATTAAAAATAAATAAATCGTAAAAAAAAAAAAAATGATGGTGAGCTTTGTTTGTCGTGTTACCAACCCTCCAATCACGCACTTGTAAGATAGAAGTTTTGTGGGGAAGCTGCTGGTTGTCTTGGCCCCATCCAGGTTTCCTGTAAAGATATTGCAGGTTTTTCCTGGCCTCCCTGATGTTCCAGCTGTAGTATGAGTGATGGTAATACTCAAATATATGTCTTACGATCAAATGTGTAGTTTTAAAGAAAAAATTGCATATAACATGATTTTAATCAATTAATTATTTAAAGTGTGTCGAAAGAGAAATATAGACGATATGTCTTCGAAAAGCACAAAGACCATCTGTCAGAAGCTGTCTTCTATACGATTACAGTTGTGGTGGGAGTTGGGTTTTTTCGTCTATGGGGAATACACATGCTGTGTATTTGTGGGGATGGAGTGCTCCCAAAGGTCACCCTCAACCCCATAGACTCACACAAATCAATGTATTATACAGTGTATTGTAAAGTAAACAATGACCATCACGGGGATCTACTATCCCTTGGACATTAAAGTAAACAATGACCATCACGGGGATCTACTACCCCTTGGACATTAAAGTAAACAATGACCATCACGGGGATCTACTACCCCTTGGACATTTAGGATGCCCATCACGGGGATCTACTACCCCTTGGGTAAAGTCCAACATGGGGGAACCACAACCCCCTGAGGACATATAGTTATATCATAATCATATTGCTGTAATAGTGAGTGTGTGGGGCGACACTTTGGCCACAGTATAAAGTATAATCGGAGCATTTCTCCTCGACAACCCTTCTCCCACAACATTGTGTGTGTGTCATAGTTGTTTTCTTAATTGTCCTAGAATATTTGCTTAACGAATTGGTGCAATAAAGCAAGTTTATACATGCCCATAGCATTATAAACTTAAGTTAATGAAACAAGCGTTAGGACAAGAGTAAAGTTGTGCAAAGTCTCCTGCAGTACAAAGGTCTGGTACAAAGGTCAATCTGTGAATCGTGTGATCATACACGTGCAAAGCGCAAGGCTGAATTAACAACAAACCATTGTCAAATCTCTTCCCATGCTGTGCGGGAAAATAGACCAATCAGGTTTCACCTCTTCGTCTGCATAGTTTCCTGCTTGGATCAGTAAGCCTCATTGTGTCACTTGCAAGCAAAATTGTATGACCTCTGCGGCAAAGTACTTCGAAATTACCACCCATCCCACCCTTCAAGGATTTTGCACCACTATATCATAACTTGTATCACATAATAAATAAGAATCTGTAAATATTGTTTCGATATGCAATCCGGCATCAAGATTCACATGAAATGCAATTCATGTAGTGTTGTAGATAAAGTATTATGGAGTAGTTACTGGTTAATATGTTATTACAGGCACATATATATGTTGTAATATACAGTATTGGAATTGACTTTGCAAGTCTGGTTGTAAAAATAAAAATATTTGGTTGTTTGGGGATGGAGTGCTCCCAAAGGTCACCCTCAACCCCATAGACTCACACAAATCAATGTATTATACAGTGTATTGCATAGTAAACAATGACCATCACGGGGATCTACTACCCCTTGGACATTAAAGTAAACAATGACCATCACGGGGATCTACTACCCCTTGGACATTAAAGTAAGCAATGACCATCACGGGGATCTACTACCCCTTGGACATTTAGGATGCCCATCTCGGGGATCTACTACCCCTTGGGTAAAGTCCAACATGGGGGAACTACGACCCCCTGAGGACATATAATTATATCATAATCATATTGCTGTAATAGTGAGTCTGTGGGGCGACACTTTGGCCACAGTTTAAAGTATAATCGGAGCATTTCTCCTCGACAACCCTTCTCCCACCACATTGTGTGTGTCATAGTTGTTTTCTTAATTGTCTTAGAATATTTGCTTAACGAATTGGTGCATTAATCTACATTATAAGTACCCAAAGAGGCTACATATATAAAAAACCGGATACAAATAGCTGTTTTGCGAAATTGGGAGCAATTTTAAATCTGTTCAGTTTTTTTTTATACACCCTGTAGTGAAGCTTTTCACTTCAGTATTGTATTCACAGGCTTGCAAGATTTTGCATTTTTGAGCAGCTAGCACATTTGCTTAAAAGAACACTGGATGAACAGCGGACAACATCACAGGGATTCTACCGCCTTTCGGGCCTCTAATATACGATAGCCAGTGACATTCCCTGGCAAAATCCCCCCCCCCCTGACAAAATGTGGGCTTAAGATATGTACAAGTTTATAAGTTATTTATACATATCTAACGTGCATGGTAGAAAAGTATTTTTGGATGGTTGAGTCTCTGTGCGTTTTTTATAACATAGCTCCAAACTATTAAAACTTCAAAGGCCTATCTACAGGATGCAAGTTTAACGTACTGTATATACGACTGTAAGATGTGTATATAGGGACTGTAAGTGTTCCTTAGGCTTAGTACAGCAAAGTTGTCGTGGACGAATCCATGGCTGAAAACGCAGGAATAACATTTCCGAGGTTCAAATTTTAAAATTTTCTTGGGGGAGCATGCCCCAGCCCCCCCCCTAAGGTTATGGGTCATTTATATACTGTACCATCCCCCCATTTTCGAGTATTCTATTCTATCCCTGCATGTTTTAGGGTTTGGTGCAGTTATACATTTTTTGTAAGTAAACTTGCACGCTTTAGTGTGGGGAACATTAAGACATAACCATAGAAAATAAAGCGCAGTGAAAATTCCTTGGCCTTTCTTGGGTTTTCTCGGCCTCCTCTGACTGAAAACCCAGCTACTCTCTGACGATAGCTATATGAAAGCCTTGAGTTACTGTAAGCCGTTATTATGAGAGGCAAAAAAATATCCTGCCGTGAAATATACTGGGGAAAAAATATCTTGCACTGCACTTTTATAGGAAAAAAATACCTGTCTTGTTCACCTGGGCGGACAAAAAATTATTGCACAGTCTGAATCTTCCAACCCCCACCCCCTTCCCACAGTCTGAATCTTCCAACCCCCTCCCCCCTCAAAAGTCAAATGGTCCGCCCCTAAGGGTCTGTTTTCCAGTTATGCGACAGAAACAAATCACAGAAACAAATCATGCATGCAGGACTGGTATTTATTTATTTTATCTCTACTTGGCATGAAAAACATGATATTCAATAGCTAAAAGCCTGATCTTTCTGAGTATGATATATTTACATTAATAGTGTAATGTTATGGTGTTGGTGATGGCAAGAAAATGAAACAGGTGTTATTTTAAAAGTTGGATTATTAATAATCCATCTTTTAAATAACACCAACATTATTGGCTGCCACCACCAATACCATCGCACTACTATAAATTTTATATTCTCCTTCATCAATTGCTTTAGTAATTTTATTAGTTAGTTCACTAATTGCAAGCTCTGTTGATCTATTTTCTCTAAAGATAGTATTTCTTTTTTGCTTTTTTTATTACATGATGTTCGTATTTGTTTTCATTGTTTGCAGCAGGATGGTGTAAATATTTCTTATATAACTTATTCTTTTTAATAACTGATTTTGCAATGCATTATGTCATCCATGGACGTTTCTTGTCATCCATGAACTTTTCTTGTCAATTTTCCTTTTTGTAAGGTTTTTTTGTTAATGAGAAGTTACTTTCGTAGATTGGTGAAAATAAGTGAAAGAACTCATTGTATGACTCTGTGCTGTTGTTACTATAGGAAGCACGTTTTTCCATGACATATTTTTAATAGTATTACACTTTTTTGTAAATAAATTATTTTGCTGGTGGGGTTACATGTCGCGTTTTTAAGTTACGTAGCGGCATAAACTATGGGTAAGTGGGCTGAGATATCACAAAATAATATCCCATTTGTGCTGTCTTCTATATTTTCAATATCATTAGTAAACATGTTATCAATTAATGTGGCAGTGTGTTGTGTGATTCTTGTTGGTCTTAATATAAGTGGGAAAAATGAAGACGTAAGCGTTTGTTCTAGGAATTTGCTAATATATAAATCACAAGATTCTGATTTCAAGAGATCTATATTAATTAATAAAATCCCCCATGAGCTGGCCTATCTTATTTTATTTGTCTATTTTGCCTAGTATCTGATTCATTATATTTTCAAACGAATCAATTTTATTATTTGGCGGTCTGTATATTACCCCTATTAGTACGTTTCACCAACAGCTGTAATGAGTTCTATGAATATGGTTTCAATTGTAGTTTACCGCTACGATTCATGATGATAAATACAGTAGTTTTCAAGTTGGAAAAGGTCCTCATTATCATTTAGCCACGTCTCAGTTAAACCTATTATGTCTAATGGTATATTTAATTAATGATTTGGTTAACTCCTTCAAAGAGTCAAATTCATTAACTATGCTTCTTGTATTTAAGTGTAACATCGAAAAGCTTTCGTTGAGATTCGCCTTGTTGGTAAATTTATTGAAATCATTTGGTAAATAATATTCACAGTTGTTTATTATTGTTTTTCTATATTTGCGTTTTCTTCAGATTGTGCAATATTATTAAAACGAGTGTCGAAAGGGTTAAATTTCAAATGCCTTAGCCTATCCATATCGTTTTCACTGATATTTTTCTGTTTAATTAAAACGGTAAATTCATACTCTAAATCGTCAAGTGTGTGGTAGTATCAGATAAGCAATTTTGACACATGTCAATAGTGTTATTTGTATTGGAGTCAAATAACATTGCGCAAGCATGAGACACAGCGCGAAACAATTTTTCACATGTGAGACATTCAATATATTTTTGTGTTTCTTGAATTATTTTGAAGCAGGAATAGCATTTTTTCTTGTGCTTATTTTTATGAGTAGCCATTTAGAAAGTTTAATTTTGTCTAATGTTAACTTAGATTTTCAAAACACACAATATACATGACATTAGTATTAAGTGAGTGTCTGTATTAATTAACGTGTAAAAGTATTATTAATATCAACATTATTATTATTAATAATCAATTTATCCTTAACAATTCTTGATTGTTTTCCCGCAGTTCTTGCCTTCTCTCTTACGGCCAATTCGATGAGATCGGTCAATCTTGACATGCTTACGTGCGTATTCTATTTGAACGATTTCTATCTTTTGCTTTAAGAGATCATGTATAATTTCTGTTGTATTCTCCTTCTCGTGTTCGGGTATGTTGAAGAACAACAGGTTGTCGCGCATGGACCTCGCTTGTAAGTCTATTATCTTGTTGCGCATAGACTGTATATTAGCATTATCCCATGTCAATAGCAATATAATTTCGTTTTGGAAAGTGATTAACCGTGATTTTGTATAAATTTTATTGATATTGTATTGATTTAACTCATAAAATATGCTTCGCAAGTCAAATGTTATATTTATATCATGATTATCGCGGATATTATATATTTAACACATGAATTTATTCATCGGCATCATCGCACCTTGAAACTACACACTTGACTTGTTAGTGATACTGATATCATGTGTCAATACAATAGCAATATAATTTCGTTTTGGGAAGTGATTCTGTATCGATTTAATTGTATTGTATCGATTTAACTCATAAAATATTCTTCGCAACTCAATTGTTAGGCTATAATTATTTACAAACAGGCAATAGCCGCGCATATTATATATTTAACTCATGAATTTATTCATCGCACTCGATCTTTCTCGAGTATCGAAGCGAGATTCAAACGGAAGTGAGAAAGGCCTCTAAAGTGATTCTGCGATTCGTCGACCAACACGACCACCAATTAACATGCTCTAGCCATGACGTTAGACCTTGCAAACGGTGCGACCTAACAGCAAATCTCCTGAAAATTCTTCGTGAACTAAAAGGATCGTAGATAATGCTTTGATCTTACCTTAAATGAATGACTTCACAAGAAGATATAATTCTTAAAAATCGCAATATTTGCTAAATACTTGCCAACTTGTAAGTTTCGCCCTCGTGCTAAATCTTGGCAAGTCCCGAAGAGCAGCCGGTAGCTTCCGTAAAGATCCGTCGAATCTTCTACGTCATAAAACTGAACGTTCAAATCATTGTCGCATTCATATAGCTCGGTAAAGAAGTCTGGGAACAAATCACAAGAATAGGGAGCTGCCTGCGGCATGAAGCAATTAATAGTTGTAAGATTCGATGTTTATACCGTTAAAATGTGAATTTTAAGTTACACACTAAGGCCGCATTTACACTATGACGCTACGGCAAATTTACCGTAGCGCAGTGATTTGCATCCGCAGAGCAGAACTATGACGCTACGGCAAACCACTCCGTTATAGTGAAAACACAATACTGAGAAACGTCGTGAATTTTTAACGAAATTGATTTGTATTCAGTGTGGCAAATGTGGTGGTCCGTAGTTAGCACGCTACGGCAAACCACTCCGTTATAGCGTAAACACAATATAGTCTCAATACTGGAAACGTAGTGAATTTTTAACGGAGTGTTAGCCGTAGCGTCATAGTGTAAACGCGGCCTAAAGCACAAAGAGTGAAGGTAACTCGTGCACAAGTTCTAGATATAAAAATAATCCTCCTCGCGTTGATAACAGTCTTTTCCGCGGTAGATCGTCTAATTAACCCGAGCATTTGGTTTGATTTCGACCGCACTTGTTCATTTGATCGTTCCATAATAGCTTATAGAACTAATGATAATACCTATATGTCAACCTCATTTTCCATTTGTCCATAGGTCCAATCTGTAATAATGTGCGAGATACAGCCATAATGTATGGTGAGTTGTGTGAATTTTAAAATACACTGCCGTGCTTTGTACCTGAACTATACCTGAAATATATTAACAACACGCGGTGGGTAGCACCGACGAGAGATGCTTTTCTTTGGTAAACATTTTGCTGATCCCCAACCATTAGAAAGTCAAGAAAGTTTTACCCAACTTCAAATGGCAATTAAAAAATAAATACCCACTCCTGGCCAAACGTTTTACGAAAGGATAGCATTCGGAATTCAGATGTCACACATGTCCTTTACCACTTCTGTTACATGAGTTTAAAATAACTGCTTATGCAATTTTTTGCAGTCTAAAGTTTCATGTTGTCTGCAGATGTACTTTCTTTGGTGACTCTATTTGCCTCCTGACCGAAATCGGAAAATGATCAAGATAGTGACTCTGATCATAGACAATCCAAAAGACATGTCTTGGATTGTCTATGGCACTATGCTCTGATTGATTTACATATTGTATTGACCTATATCATGACTCATGACATTGAATGAGTCACGATTTGGAATTGACAATACATTTTTATTACCGAACCCTTGGCTTGGGTTGTTTTGTTTTTCATTTATCCGACCTTTACCACCCCCCTCCCCTAAATATTGACCAGTCTCTAGTACGTTAACTCTATTCTAACATATCCTCAGAGATATAAAAAAACTAATTCTATACCCATTGAGCTATCGAATCAACGGGGATTGGTATAGCGAGTCTTATCCAATTTACTCGCACGAAATGTTTTCGCGCCGTCTTGAAGCTTGTCTTGGAGAACACGCGATGTTTTAATATTACAGAACTATCCTTATATATAAAAATGTTGTTTCATATTTATCTGACACGGCAGACATACAGCATAGTGGTTCGCTTCAAATGTCGTTCAAGTGTTTTAATATTTTTCAAGTCGTTCATAAACAAGTGTTTTAACAATTTTTCAAGACCATTGCGTTCGAGATATCTTTTTGCAGGTTGTTCACACACAAACCACGGCAGCTTATTACATTTTGGAATACCACTCCTCCGCAGAGGCTTTTATATATGTGTTGAGGTTTTGAGCATTTTTACCAGTCTCACGTCCAATGTGTACGGACGCGCTCTCTCAATCGCTACGCAAACTTCATGTAAGACTGATTAAAAATGCTCACAACTCTATAAGACTTATATAAAAGCTGAGGAGAGTGGTAGAATACTACCTGCCCTGGACCACCACGTTTGAGTTATCTTTTTCAGGTAATTCAGACACAAACCACGCCAGCTTGTTGTAAAATTACACTAACATTGGACCACCACGTACGTTTTATTTATTAATGGGAAACTTTTATTTTTCCAGCTTTGCTTTCTGGTCGGGATCCTGAATATCCAGCCGGTATGTTAATTATTCATATTTGGACCAACTTCAACAAATAAAAAATATTGTCCATATTCCCATGAAAATTTGGTGTTTGGTGAAAGCATTTGGCAAGTTTCACTCTAATAACAGATATACAATATATTTTTACACAACACACCACTATATGATATATGTTGTGCATCGTGTAAGGATTTACATCAACGTTGATATTGATTATAGGCCTATTATATTAGCCAAGTGAACGTTATTTTAATATTTTGTGTGACCTCCTTTTGATTTCAAAACAGCTTCAACTCTTCCAGGCATAGATTTAATAAGTTTTCTTAGTATTGATGGTTTAAGATTATTCCAGCATTATTGATTAACAACATTCCTTAGGTTGGTTGTCTTTGCTTCTGGGATTATGTTTCATTTTCTCTCGCTTGAAAAGTCTCCATAAATTGTCAGTAGAATTTAGGATTTTAGGTCTGGAGGTTGAGGAGGAACAATCAGATCACCATTCTCTATAGTCCCTAGTTATTAAATATTTTTTACAAAACAAAAATATCACTCCCTCCTTCAAAGACAAGCCAGTACCATCTTAACAGGCTGTTTCTGTAAGAATCGACCAGTGATTCTCAAATTGAACATCACCCATGCCCATATTTTTGTCATTTGTTAGGCTTAGTAAGCACACCATGGAATCATGCTCAGAATTTTTAACTTCTGTATTTTCCTGAGATTTTTATGATTTTCTGCTTACCCCAAACGATAGCGGTTTTTACGCTTCACTCGACGCGTAAAAGACACTTTTATACTGTCTTATTGCACAGTCGCGTGAACGATTTTATGAATTATTTTGATATGTTTTTAAAATTCAATGTTTCAACTTCACGTTACCGATTTTATTTGGTACGAACCGCATTTAATTTAATCCATAGTTAATTAACTATGCTTAATCAGAGTATGCTTTTGAGCTGTTGCCCGTTATCTGGTGTGCTATTAAAATTAGCTTATTGCAAAATCGTTTTATTCAAAAGTGGCACCACTTACTAACTCTACCTCAGATTAGTTTGAAGGTACTTACGGTGTACTATATAGTCTTGTCGAAAAACGTTTGTGGGGAAATAATTCGAAAATATTTTAATCACCACGGCTTTATCCAAGCACTTTTTGCTGACCCTCGTTTTAGAAAAAAAAAATTCAGTTTTTGTGACGCACGAATGTATAGCAAAAGGGCAAAGTCCCTGAAAGCTTTTGCCATTTCAGCATCTTAGCTAGACTATGTTGCCGCCACGTTGCTCGGATGTAACTGCATGGTTTATGAATGATGTAATCTTATATGTAAACATTGTGCAATACCAAAGAGGCCAAGCATTGATGTTGTAGTATTCAAGTGTATTTTTTTGCGTTTTTTTCACTCTTCCAGCTCAAGGTTGTGTAAATTTTAGATTTTAGTCCACAAAATTTACTCTCTATTTGTAATATCTGTTATTCTTCGATCATCCCATTTCATTTTTTTTGTAATTTGATTTAAAATTTTTATCAGAAATCCAAACATGCATGCCATCTAAGCATGGTGGGACAAGACACAAAATATACGATAGAGGTAGCTTTACAATCGACGTAAACATGTTGTTTTATTTGGAAAGAAAACCAACTCAAATAACCCTGTTTCTCGGGATTCCGAGTGTGAAAATGATTTTTGTTGTTTTTTCTTTTCGTTGGGGGAAAGATTCTGTTCAAAAACTCAATTCAAGATTGACTTTTGACCTCCGTTTACCGGTGGTCAGTTGGTACGTGCTTGGATAAAGCCCTGAATTCGCGGCACACAAAGTTTTACAATTTTCACCCAAATTAGGCCGAAACCGAAAATGACAAACCAGACAACAAAAATGACCCTTTATCGTTATTTATAGCAATTAGCAAATATATCCTCTGGTATATACAATGTGTTTTATTTTCCAAAATAAAACACTTTTAAATGTTTATGAATAATATTTTAATCGGAATAATAAGATTAAACATTTCTTAGGCTGCTTATATTGGAGCGACTGACCTGCTAACGGCGTGAATGTCTTGATAAACAACAATACAATAATCTTTGTCTTTGCCCACTCTGGTCCACTCGTGTGCGAAAAATTTAAATGTGGTTGTAAACAAACTATAAATATTTGGTCATTTTTGGTTACCTCTATATTCTTATCGCAAATATATCTGAGGAATTAATTCGAAAATATTTTAATTGTGGCATAAAAGTTATAAATAAAATTTACGTACTATGTTCAGTTTTTCGCCCAAAAACCGGAAGTGAAGAGCCAAATTTATATCTAAAAGAGTAAAATCATTATTTCATTCAGAGAGCGAGACTAGGGCACTCACCTCTTCCAAAGTTGTGGGGGGGACGTTATTAGTTTACTTCGAGTATGTCGGTTTCGCTCACATGCAACTAGAACTACAATTTTATTTCTACACAACATAATTATGCAATGCTTAGTCAGTTCTATACTTATATAGTTACACAATTTCAACCGAGATTTCAGCTTATTAAGTGGCGACTACTTTAATTATGGCATAATTGTACCAAGCAGTTAAATATTCATAACTCTATAAACTATCACTGCATGTCTTTACGTATATATAATGTCACCATGCAGTTTTTCATCGCTTCTCGAGCAACATTCACTATATCATTTCTCCAACTTTCAGAATAAGGTTAGATTTGCGATCTCTTGACTTGAGTGGTATCTCGAAATGCCCACATATAACTTTTAACATGCTGATATTCAATAGGCGAAGTTTATCATTTTTGTAGTACTGACACAAATCATAAATATCATAGATGATAGGATGCTGAATTCCTATTTGACCAACAATGTCGTTTATTTGGCAAACTTTCTCCTCAGTTTCAACTTCTGAATCATCTACGTCTTCCGTTGGGGCAACATGCCATCTTTCATCCTCCGCCCCCATTTCTTTCCTTTTTTTCTAGCAACATCAAGACGAGAAAAAAAAGCTTTTGATTTGGTTTGATGTCAACCATTCCTCGCGAGTAAATCGTCTCTCATTGTTTTCATTCCTATACACTTACGCATATCAGCTTCTATACATCACTCGAGGTAAACTTGCAGCCAGTTAGCTCACCAATATCAAATTTTGCTGTCAAATAATTGCGGACATTCGTGCTGAACCGGGAAGATGTACTGGGCTTGCTTAGAGCCCAGCCTATGAATGATATCAATAGTTTGAAATTTTTCGACTCATTTTTTTCTCAAGCTGTCGTACAATGTCTCGTTTTTAAGAGTATTGGTACGTGTGGTGTGCCGCACTGAGATGAATTTCCAGATTTTCAAAACATTTGAAGACTTTATCGCATCCTGGATCGGTACACTCGATTGATTCGTCGTCTCTGCCATTTGTTTCTCTTCTTCCATATATGGCTGTCACATTAAATTAAAACAATCCATCGTCTTCCTGAATGTCTGTCTATAGTTCTCGGTTTTTTAACGACAACATCTGAGAAAGGAATGAATTTTTCCTTTCCCGATACCATATATGCTTTCCTGACTCTAAGACCCTGATCTTCTATCTCAAAGTTATGAAAACTGTTAAAGTTTTTATAGGTTTTACCTCAGCTGACATTTTTGACTTGTCTATTTTGTTTACCGAAGCAGTAACTCCACTGACGGGGCCCTCGACTTGTGCTCTCTTCATGTCTTTTGCACTCAAAATATCATGGCCTTCGTTGCAATAGCTCCTAATAGCTAGTTTCATTGGGCATAATGTGCGGTCACACATGTCCTTGCCGTGTTGTGGTTCAGAGTAGTCGTAACTGACAACCTTTACCCCGACTCTGTTCCCGATATCTTTTAATGATGCTATTAATAAATTGTTATGATAACATCCGGCTTCGTCTGACCGTATATAAACATTTCTTATACCTTGGTATTTATACATGAACTTGCGGTTAGAGCTCGACAATTGGACTTTGTAGCTATGGGACCGGTTGTACGATGACCGGATAGCGCTATCCACCCGATAGTGATTTTTCAAGCTTTGTTAAATTAGCGTTGGTTGTAAGTTTAGTATTTATAGGTTAAATATTTTTTATGCTTCTTGTGTCGTCTATATCCGTAGTTTCACAGTTTTTCAAGCATTTTACAAAGGTTGAAAAAATCACTATCTGGTGGATAGCGCTGTCCGACCTTCGTACACCCCAGTTGGTTAGAGCGCTGCACCGAATTGCAATGCCGCTGGTTCGATTCCTGCCAGAGGGTCTATAGTTGCATTTTTCAGCTGCTCCTGGTTAAGTTTTTAAAGAATGTATAAAATTTACAAAGGGCATAAGGTCTCATTAAATATAACACAGGTTTGCAATTCGTTTCATTCAGTGGCCGCGGAAGCATTTCAAAATGGGGGGAGGGCATTGGCCAAAAGGGGCACTTTTGTATATGATCAAAATCAAACGATTTTATGTCGTTCACGAGCCGGACGAAAATTTTTGAAAATATGGAGTCTCTATAACGTTGGAAATGGCCTTTATAGAGCCTTTACTCTGCAAAAGGGGCACTTTCTTTCCAGCAAAAGAAGGCTTTTATTCGGGAAATACTTTTTTCGTTCTGTAAATGGGGCACTTTAGCCCAGAAAAAAGGACACTTTTTTCACTTTTAAAAAAAGTGGGGGGGGGCATATGCCCCCATTGCCCCCCGGTTCCGCGGCCCCTGGTTTCATTGTGTTGAGAAGAATATCTTATTTCAAAATGTGGAAATGAGTCAAAATAATTGAAGTTGATTTATATGTATAGGTATGATTCAACCAGACCATGCGACTTTGGAAGGATTTGAAAACTTGGATTTATCTGATTTGACTCTGGGAGTGGACTGGGCTTTTGCGCAGGTAACTAGGCTATGATCATTGAAATGAACTTATACTTTATGTAGCGCGGCGGCAATGTTTGTTTTGTTTTGAAGCATTGATCAATGATTGTGACCGTTATTTGACGACTACTTTAAGCTGATTGGTTGATTTTAGATTCCATTGTTTTTCTAACCAATCAGATCAGTTTGTTACAGAATTTTGCACTGTTGTTTGAGATTAACTGCACTGAAATCAACCAATCACAGTCCAGTAACATTTTTATGTATATTATTATGTATTAAAGTATATGATTTAATGTGTATTTGTTGCATGAGTATTATTAATATAAAATTTAGAAAGATTGAAACTTTTCCGTGTATATACGTACGTATGAAGAACGCTTAACTATAGGTCTCCCGAAAAGGTCTCCCGTACATAAACATCGAAAACTCGCTATGATCAGGCTAACTTTAACACTTCTACACTGTAAAAACTGATTGGTCGAAATGACCAAAAAAAATTGGTCACCTGGATGCATCTGAGAGAACCAATTAAAAATGGTCGTTTTAACCAATAAAATTAACCATTAATTAATTGGTCATTTCAACCAATAATAATTGGTTAATATAACCAAATATTTTTGGTTGTTTTGACCAATTAATAAATGGTTAATTTTATTGGTTAAAACGACCATTTTTAATTGGTTCTCTCAGATGCATCCAGGTGACCAATTTTTTTTGGTCATTTCGACCAATTTTTTTTGTCATTTCGACCAATTTAATGTCACAACCTATACACTGCATTAAAATGAAGAAAATTTGTGAGTCTTACATCACTGAACATGTATATATTATATACATGGAATTTAATAAAAAATATATCATTACAATATAATAAGACAATTAAATAAACTACAGCTACAGGTACCTTAGAACTATGTGAGAGCAATTGCAAAGGAATACAATTACAATTGCTGTGTTGAGTGGTTATATTACTACCTCAAAAAAAACAACAAGCAGAAACTCAACATTTCGAGCGAAGGGTCTTTGCTCAAAACATTCAGTTTCTGTTTGCTTTTTTTTCAGGTAGTAGTATAACCACTCAGCACAGCAATTTCACATTGGTACTACTCGCTAGTACCGGTATACAGACAGTTTTAATACAATTACAAGCCTGTCAGCATGAATTGAACCTGCAGCCCTGCAATTCTACTGCAGCCCTCTGACCTAAAGAGTCCTTTTGCCAAGATGTAACTTTCTGTATAATTATACACAGCCAGAAACGCGCAAGTCGGAACAGATCTGCAACAGAACTGTTAAATCCTGTTGTCAACAAGCCGATATCTGGATGCGTTCGCTCGCCTTGTACCTGTCTGTTCTGACAGACCTGCAACGGCCTGTCAACAGGTCTGTTACAAGCTGTTGTGACAGAGCTGCTGCAATGCTGTTTTCAACAGGTCTGTTACAAGCTGTTGTGACAGAGCTGCTGCAATGCTGTTTTCAACAGGTCTGTTACAAGCTGTTGTGACAGAGCTGCAGCAATGCTGTTTTCAACAGGCCTGTCGCAAGTTGTTGACACAGAGCTGCAGCAATGCTGTTGTCAACAACTTGCGACAGACCTGTTGCAAACCGAGGAAAGCGCCTTATGAAGCTTGTGTATCCACTATTTTGAACAAAAAACGGCCAAACAGGTTGCCATATCTCGGTTGTAATGTTTCGTGAAATAGCCAGACTTTCATATGAACAGTTTTCGTGAAATAGAAGTTTGAAATATAAAGTTTTATAAACAAACTTGCGAGATAATTTTTATATATATGAATATAAAGTTTTATAAACAAACTTGCGAGATAATTTTTATATATGAATATAAAGTTTTATAAACAAACTTGCGAAATAATTTTTATATATGAATATAAAGTTTTATAAACAAACTTGCGAAATAATTTTTATATATGAACATAAAGTTTTATAAACAAACTTGCGAGATAATTTTTGAGCAAAACAGCCGAAAAAATACGACAAATTCAAGAAAGGTTCTTATCGTAAACAATTTTCAAAATTAATTGTCTTTAAGTACGACCGAAATATGACAACCTATTTGCATATTTTTCTTCAAAACAGTACATACCATAACACAAAAGCTTCAATAAGGCGTCTTCCTCGCTCGCAGATTTCACTTCAGTGAAATTGGAAAGAAATTATATAACGAATTTCATGTTCATATCAACAATCACGAACGTTGCAGTTAACACTCGGTTGTTCATGTATTGTCATTTCTTAAGCTGTAGTAGATCTTGTATTCTCATTGCCACAGTTTCTTCAAAAATCAAAACAGCTTTGAACTTGTTTGATTTTGTTTGAGGCAGTTGTTGAAAATTTTGTTTGGCTCAAAATTGAAAAACAACTAAACATGATTACGTGATTGATATGTTTGTAATATTTCGCCCAATTGCAACGAGGAATGATGACGTGTGCACACGCGTTTATCCAATCAGATTAAAGAAATATAGCGATAGCACACGTCAGCAAATTGGAATTTGGATTTTGGAAATCGGAACTTTTTAAAAAAAAAATAAAACAGCGGCTTTTGCATTTTATAATAATCAGAGAATATATAATATGGACTATAATCTCTCCTATGTGATTTAATATTGCCACCAATGACAATGATTAAATGAGAAAGTGAAGCCGGAAGTGTCCATTTCGTGCGATTTTATATCTCTTTACTCACATTTTCGGTTTGTTTCCCAACAACAGGCTTGTTGAAACTTGTTGTGACAGGACAAAAATTGTTTGTTGTGGACAGGTTTGTCGCAGGTCTGATAACAAGCTTGCTGCAGACTTGACAAAAACAACTCGCGACAGGTCTGTTGGAACAGGTTGGAACAGACCTGTTGATTTCAACAGACTTGCTGCAAGTTGTTCTATCAGACCTGTTATCTCTTGTTAGTAACAGGTTTGTAGCGGGTTGTTTCAACAAGTCGCTACGGCTCTGTTGTCAACAGCTTGCGACAGACCTGTTCTCGCAAGCCTGTTACCGCCTGACGAAACCAACAGACCTGTCGCGACTTGTTGACAACTTGCCGCAAGCCGGTAAAATCAACAGCTTGCGACAGGCCTGTGAGATTTCTGGCTGTGTACCATGATGGTGGTGTCACTGGTAGTATATTAAATAAACGGGGATGACACTAGTATTGTATAAATGAACTCTTGGTTAGCTTGATGGATTCTTGGCGCTTGGACTCTCAGGGCTTGATGGACTCTCGGCTGTTAAGGAACTGTTCAGAATCACAGGGCAACAGGTTCCATTCCCGGCACAGTACTTATTACATAGTTATTGTTCAAAATTTCCATCTACAGAAATTTGGCTTTAACCCATTGAGTGGCAACACTCTCTCCTTCATGAGTAAAATTGTCTGGCATTAGACAGAAAAAATAATAAGGTAGAGCCCATTGTAGAATATTTACAAGTTAGTATAATATACCTGTACTGCATGTAGTGTTGTCACTGCTCAATCAAGCATGTCATACAAGTCCACTAGTTAAAATTTAAAAGTACAAGCTTCATACCACAAGTCAGCAACACCATTCCTTGTCAGGTTTGTTAATCCATAAACATACTCTCCAGCAAAAGAATAACATTTTCCAAATAGACTATGCAGTATTTAAAATGCCATTAATGATTATATATATTGCCACTTGTTTAGACAACTTGCCTTCTGCTGGGAAGCTTTTATTAATAACTTTTCATTCAGGATCAGGATATATAATGAATCCATATTAAATACAATCTCTATTAAGAAAAAAATACATATTAAGGTTGATATATAATGGTAGCAAATTATTGATTGATTGACAATGAATTTCCTATTTTTGGTTAGTGTACGAAGCAAGAAATACAAAATTCAAATGCTTTCACTTGACATGTTTAATGTAAGGCTAGCATGCAATTGAAGTAACATCTGCATCCAATACAACTATTCTCACTGGTAAAAGACTGTTTAAAATACTGGTGCATAACAACTGTTTTTTCCAAAATTCCTAATTGAAAAATATCATTCTATATAATCCAGCAAGGTAGATTTAGTGGCTGTTTATATGAGGTGATGGCACCTGTGTACCTGAGCTGGCCCAGTTTTGGTGAGATCCAGATTTTGTTAGAATATTCTATATATTTCAACTTGTGTTTTACTTTATAATATAGAACTGAGCTGGACTTTTTTAGGAAGATGGGGGCTTCGGTGGCAAAGCTGTTATATGCACTTGCCATTCACCTCTAAGGCTGCAGGTTCAAGCCTCAGTGAGAACTTTCTCAATGCGACTCAAACCCAGTCCTCATGTGAAGAGTAAAAGTCAACAGTCTGTCGAAAGTCATGGGTTTTCTCCAGGTACCCCGGTTTCCTCCTACAGGGAAAGTTGACAGGGTGGGTGATGTAAAAGAGCCAATAGTAATTGGCACATGCTGTTGTGGTGACACCTAGTTGGCAAAGCTAAATAAATAAACTTAAGATACTGCCACAATTGACCCAAAATGTTGCTAATGCCAAACTAAGATTTTCCATATAAACTATATACAATGACCCGGGATTTGGCACAGTATTCATGCTTTGTTTAGGCATAATGTAATCTTCTAAATGACATTTCCCAATCAATTTGAATATTAACCCATTAAGCTGTAGAGTTGGAGTTTCCCAATTGACGAGTAAAATCATTTGGCCAGAGGTGTAACTTAACACTTGCCTGGGGCAAGTGAATATCATGATGGGCAAGTAAACACTTTATCTTGCTGCCGATTGGGCAAGTTGCCTTGCCACTATTCATTGTCAGATATATTTTGTTTTATAGTGCATGGACTTGGTTCAAATTTCATTTTTTGTGCATCAAAGCTACAGTATATCTGAGGCAGTATAACATAGCCATATAGCACAGTGGGAGAACAGGTTGACATGTTGTCCCCTTAACCCATTGAGTCGCATTGCACCCTGATGCACCCTACTTTAGTATGTTACTCTGTCTAACGCCAGACGATTTTACTCGTCA